CTACAGTGTTCATGAGTGCAAATTGACTATTGAGTACTAATTTTAAGCAAACCGTGTTTCAATATCATGCTATTCTATCAAGTTGCTAACAATTTTAAAAAGTAGCGAATAGCGATTCACTCTTTGAAAGGTAGTCGACTACTTCAGCCTGCACTGTTTGCCTGTATGTCAGTACAATGCAATCAACCAGCTGATCAATGCTAAATACTAGTCAGTAGGAAATAAGAACAAGAAGCCGATTTTGAATCACATAATTTATATATTTTGCAATTGAAAAAAGCCATATTTGAGGAAGGTTGACTAGAAATTTTAACCGGAGGAAGGTTGAACATTTTTTTGCAACTCTGCATGCAGTTAATTAGTAGCTAATTCTTAATGTGCAAATTGTCCTGATTTCGGCCAGTTAACAGTTGACCGCAAAATACAATTTGAAGCTTGCCGTTTGCAGTTAGGGCTCTGCTGCCGTAAATGTCAATCTGTAACTCTTTATATTGCCTGTGATACAGTGCAGTATTTTGAAAATATACTAAATGGAGCCACAATGATAACATTTTCAATAAATTTACTCAAACTTATGAGCAAGTGCAGGTACTCAATTTTTTTGAGTAAATTTTCAAATGTGTTTGAGTAAGATGTACTTCACTAAAAAAATTGAGTCACAGTGGGTGCATTATTTTACTCTAGTTTTCTAGTAAAACTATTTTGCAGTGCAATGATCAATGAGGTTAACTTGAATTTCAGATTATTTCGTGGTAAATGTACTATAATTGTTAATTTCTCTGGCCTTCGATCGAAACTAAAGCAAAACATTTGAACGTGTCGCATGACCAACAGCCAAGTCGTCCATTTAGAAAGCATCTAAATAATAAAAAAAACAACTAGAGAATGGAAAAAAGTAAGACTTCTGAAGCAGTTTCCGTCAACAAAATTAGCATTTTGCAACATTAAAGCAAATATCGCATCCCGCCAAAAATCGCGCAGAGATTTCTATCTAGCTCTTCCAGGCCATCTCGCCTGATACATTGACAGCCAGCCCGGTTTACTGCATGCATAAGCCCAGTTCATAAGCAGGCCCAAATGTACACCTGAGAAGGTTCTCACGAAATGTCGAACTTTAATGTATTTTTTGAGGTATATTGAACCTTAATCCAAAAAAAAAATTAATCGCAGTAAGTGTTTACACTATCCCCTACCGACCATTGAAATCGTTTGGTGTTATCAAGTGTTAAACAGATAATTTTTAAGATGATTTTAGGATGATGTTAAGGGATATCTCGCAGCATTTATCCTAAAAAAAATTTCAATATCACGTGTCCATCAATTAAATGATGACAATTTGATAACGCGTTGTATCATTTTGTTAATAACTATGGTCGTGTGTAAAATACACACACTTTGTCTGTAATAGCCTGCGAACAGGCTCTCAAGCTGAATTGAGAGCCTGCATCGATGACTAATGAATTTGAATATCTGCGTCTCAAATCGTGACGCGAAATTCTCATTGGTCAGATGCTATAATTTATACGTTTCCGCTGAGCTCTATATATGTCAACTGCTGAACTATGCATAAAAACACATTAACTGATCAAATTGGTCTTGGCCATGTTATCTCAAAGCGCGAATGTTCTGTTTTGAGAAAACAGTATTTAAAACATTTGAACTTTTGCTTGAATATCTTATATTTCGAAAAACAGTATAAACTGTACGGTCTAAATTTAGTTTCCACGGTCTAAATTTAGTTTGCACGAAAGTTGTAAACAACACCATATAAGGATAGACATTCCATATTTGGAAAAACGAACGTTACGGGGCAGATATTCAAATTCATTAGTCATCGATGCAGGCTTTCAATTCAGCTTGAGAGTCTGTCCGCAGGCTATGTCTGTAATTATGCGTACTGCAGTACTTCAATATATTTCATTCATGTACATGCATTGATTGTGGTATGCAAATTGATTGTTGCCGCGGTTACATATATAATGTCTTCGCCTTGGGCTTGGCAAATATATATTTAACAACCTGTTCTAACGTTTTGGCATAATTGTCATAGTTTATGGACCGTATTTTACAGCAAACATGCATGTAGCCTACGAGCAGGCTCTATATATTTCAGGGCGGGTTATTGTTATAAAATCTGCTCGCAGGCTAGCAAACATGGTAACACGATCAGAATTGCAACAAACAGGGACGTATAGCGACCGGGAGGGTATAGGGAGTGTAACGCCACCCCCGGGCTTTCCGAACGCCTAAGTGTTCAAACCCACTAGTAGTAGACTATGCCCCGTGTCTCATTGTGCTAATATACTCTTTCGAAAGAAACACCTGCTACTTGAATGCACTCGTTAAAAAAACGACCTAAATTTCAAAAACTGCTTTTAGGTAACGTACGTATAGAAAATAATTTAAAAATCAGGTGATTTGGACCCTTACACATAACCCTCCCCCCCCCCCCCGCCGCAACGACAAAATCTTGGCTATACGTATCTGCATGGCCATAAATTGACAGCTCAGATGAGCTATAGCTTGTCTCAACAGATGCGTATAGGTTGTACATGCCGATGTGTAATAAATATTAATAAGATGGACTAAGAAATTATTTCCAGATATAGTCGGCAAAGTTTTATTTTTTATAGCATTTTTAAGATTACGTTATTCACACTACAACAGAAGGAAATAATACCGACAGAATTTACGAATTACGTGTGTTCACAATATGCCGTTACAGTTTGTTTGCAAATTAAATTAGCATTCATTTAAACTCAAAATATTTCAAATAGAGCGAAGAAATTTAATCGGAAAGCATTCGAATTTACTGTTTTGAGACCCAAGACCTTTGGTTTGGAACAGTGTTGTAACGAGTCATTGACTCGGACTCGAATCCCATAGCTGTGTTAAAAGCGGCTTTCTGATTGGTTTAGAGCAGGTGAGCTTGTCGTCGAGCTCACCCGCTTTTTGCCGAACTCACCTGCTTTTCGCCCGAACTCACCCGCTAAACTGCTTACGTTGCAATAACAATAACAAATATGGCGGACAAGATTTAGCCGATTAACCTAAACTTTAAAGAACTTTTTTCGGTGACTAACATACTGAGACTGAAGAAAAACCAAAAAAAAAATGCAGTAAAGGTAATGTAGACGTAGATAAAGAAGTATTTTCTTGCCCAGTGATTTTCTTGGCCGGGAAAATGTTCACAAAACATCGACGAATATATCGCGAAGAGCTACAAATGTGTGAATGGCTCGGTGTATGGGATAAAAACCAAACGTACTTGCAGGTTCGGTGAGTCCAGGATTGGACGCACCTCGGGTGGCTGGAAGTTTCCCGAACTTACCTCGCTTCGCTCGGTAAGTTCGGGAAACTTCCAGCCACCCTCGGTGCGTCCAATCCCGGACTCACCTCTCTGCAAGTACGTTTGTTATAGAGTCGACTCGCTATTAGGGAGTTTACGCATGCATGTAAGACGGCGGCGTCAGGACGACGGCTAAACAAAATGTTTGAAATGAATGATTGTATGGAAATATTTTCTTGTATTTACTTTCGTATGGATTTTAGAACGAGTAAAACAGAGCTTTGACCTTCAGAGCAATTTTGATCAACTCTGCTAGAAAAATTGGCTGCCACGGCTTGAAATGCTAGCGTACTTTACAGGACGTAAAAATATGCATTTTGGCATTTTGCCGTCGTCAACAGAGCTTGGACGACGTCTGAAACTCCAGCTATACTTTTAATTATTCATTTCTTTTTTGCTATATAGGATTAATCACATTGTATTGATAGCCGTCGTCCTGACGATCGACTTCCCGTCTTACATGCGTAAACTCCCTATTCTCGACTCGAGTCCAATACGAAAAATGACTCGACTCGAGTCAACAGCCCCAAAAATGACTCGACTCGGACTCGACTTGCTCATTTTGCCGTAAATGACTCCGTCAACTCAGCTACAACTTGTACAGAGTAAATTCATCAAAATTATTGTGATGTATTGCTTGGGAAGAACAACGAGCCCTGTAAACAATGAGAACTTCGAAACTTTATCAGAAAATATATGGAATTTGCATAGAATATATTCCTGATGGGCATGCATGCCTATATTACATTTCTGTTTTTAGAAACAACGTTAGTGCCACATTTTTAAAATGGAGTCTCAAAATATTTTGTACAATATACTAAATCTGACCGGGGCTATTTTCATTTTTGGTATTTATGAAGTGCTATATAATTTCAAATTAACTTACAAAGCGTGTTTAAATAAAGTCTATTCTTTGTTAATTCTGACTCCAGTCGCAAGTTACTGTATGCTAGTTGTATCACTGTATGTACGTACACTCGATCAGCAGGCATGATGACAGGTTTTTTTTCAAGGATTTTTTAGGGCCGTTAAAGGGCCCCAAAAACTCAATCTTGAATTGAGTTTTGAAACTCAATCTTCTCACCAAAGTTTCAGTGCAGTAAAAATAAAGTTGTTGAGTTAAATTCGTGACGTGTGGAAATTGGTTTTCAGTTTGAAACCCGACAATTAAGAAAAAATGGATGGAATACAACACAAGAAAAACTATGCATTCGCCATCTTTAACCAGTTTATAGTGTCCCTTACTGCCCCTGCTTTAACACATTCCGTCTCAACTACATTTATTGAGTACAAGTGTGCAGCCACCCCAGCTGTTCAGCTAAACTCAATCTTCTCTGCAAAAACGGACCCAAGAGAAAATCCTGAAAAAAACCCTGGATGAGACATGTCATATGGTCGTAGTTAATATTGACTAGAACTGTCATATTGGTACAACCTATATAGCTGGCAAGATACTGAAAGGGAGCACGCCAGAACTATTTGTGTAAATTTATACTAACCTTTTAGGGAAGCCTCACATATCGATTTTTTCCACGAGAAACGTCATATGTTCGTTTGGGGGTTGGCAGCTGTGACGTTTCTCTGTAAACATCATGGAAAATATCGATAGTTTTTATCTTTGTAGAGTATAAAAAAGAAAACAATTTGATACAAACAGCAGTCTATATATTCGTAATACCATACTTGTTCTATACCTATACATTTATATTATTACGCCTTCTTTGCATTTGAAAACACTCAAATTTCAAGAAATACGCGCTAAAATTATCAATATTTCATACAAAAAAAGTTGTTTTGAGAAACGTTGGAAATTTTGAAGTTCACATATATATTAATAAAAAAAGAGTATGTCAGCAGAAGATGACGTATTCCTCGCGGAAGCATCGCCAATAGCCGACCGAAAAAAATATTAGAAAATTACCTTATGTGTACTATATTGAACAAAATATCGATAACTATGTGTGACGTTTCTAAGGGAGGGTGGGGGGGTCTCCAGAGAAACGAACATATGACGTTTCTCATGGACAAAATCGATATGTGAGGCTTCCCTTAATTACATGTAAATGTTTTCATCGGGCGCCATTTTAAATGTTGAAAGCGGTATATATTATTAGCGTATCGCAGGCGCGATAATTTATGTTCATCTTTGACATTAATTTATGTTACACGATGATACTCCGACCGAGAAAGATCTGAAATTTAAAATACGGCGGAGAAAAAATAAAAAATAAAGAGGGAAGTGAAACGGCCGAACACGTGATGGAGTATTGGCCAATGACAATGCGTATATTCAATTTCGTTATCTGGCCATGCTCGTTGATCAAGAACTGCAGTGCTTCCATTTTCAAGGAAATTTCCTTTTCTAAGGAAATTCTACTGTCGAAAAGGAAAATCTAAGGAAGAGAAAAAATCTAAGGAAATCTAAGGATTTTTTCCGAAAAACTTAACTGTTCGCCCAAGCGCATTTGTGCTGAAGAAGGTTTCCATTTTTTTAAATTTTTGAGTGAATTATCAATTATCTTTAATTAAAAATCTGTTTTTAACTTTTTCCTCGTGTTTCCGAAAATTTCCGAAAGTTTTTAAGCGATGGGATTTAGTAACTTTTGGCGCCAAACGTTGTGAATAGTTAATTAATCATATCAATGTAAAGGTATCTCTTGTAAATTCATAACAAATATTTAATTTTAAACAGTATAATAGCCTGTGGTTTTTAGCTAGCCCATATCTTTGTTAATTGTGCTATTTTGTGCCTTGAAAATTAATTAAATCCTTTATTGCTGCAAAATCACTGCAAACTGCTTCATGAAATTTCAAGAAATTTTCAAGGAAATAACATATACAATCTAAGGAATTTAGAGAAATTTTGATGACAAAAATGAGAAATTTTGATTTTAAAAATGGAAGCACTGAAGAACTGTCAAATCTGAAATCTATCAAAACTTGAATTGATTTGCATCGTTGCTCGCCAGCAGTGAATTTTCGACAGCAGAGAAACACAAACATTTGCGAATGCTGGACACAAAATACAGTATTAATAATTCATGAAGAAAATTCAAAAGAAAGAAATGTTTAATCAATGTTTGCAAATCGATCGGATAAAAGATTTGTAAATTGTCCTCATTTACATATACTTCAGCTTCGATTTTCTCGGCTTAGATAATGTTTATTTTTAAAATGAACTCATATGATGGATCGTCTTTTAAGCACGTTAAAACATGAGCAGCCGATGTTTATCTGATATACAAACTCTCGCCATTGTCCCCAATTTTAATAATATATTCTATTGTGACTCGCTTGAACTAATTATAGTAGGTCAAATATAAAACAACGGTAACTCCGAAAATAATAAAAAAAAATTATTTTCGGAGCTACCGTTGTTTTATATTATATTAAAATACTCAGTG